TTTTTTTTTAAACAACAGAAATGATCTTGAAGAAAACAAAACAGAGACATAAAGAGAGAATGCTCATACTGACCATTTGCATCTTCTTTTTAAGGTTTGCGTGTGCTTGTTGGTGCCCTTTTGACACTGTGTTCAGGTAGTAGATGGCCAACCTGTTACACAGTGTTATAAATCTTTGTAGGTGAAAGAAATTGTTAACAGTACAACAGCATAGACCACAGTCAGGCTTTGGACACAGGGAAGTTGACACTAAGGTCCTGACATGACATTCTACAATTACACACACTGATTCTGCCATTTTTTAGACTTTAAATGTCACTTAAATTTACATTTAAATGATACTTACCCCATGAGGAGCACAAGACACATAATGAGTCCAGGGTTGGTGGCATATGAGAAAATGTTTTTTATGAAGGGTGGTAGCTCCTGATCTATAGTCTCCATCACCACGTCATACATATTCTGCCTACCACTAGAGAAAAACATGGATTAAATAAAGCCAACTGTTTGCTGTATCCAGTCTTTGGTTAAAGTGTTAAATAAATAAAATAGTGATACTAAATATTAAATAAAATAGCTTTATGCTAATTCTTGACATGTATGTTTAATATTGTACATGGACCCTTACAGATAAATTTCACCAACAAACAGGGGTATATCAAAAAAATGAAGCTGTTGCTATCATAAAAATGTGACTTATTGGAGGTGGTTGCACCTGTTAACAAGACTAAGATCCACGAAGGTAACAAAAATAAAAAGAAGAACGAAAAAAGAGCCTAAAATACTAAAAACAACCAGTGCACTTGGATGAATTGCCTTAAATTATTTAGGTAGATTGTCTGAGTTCATTATACTGACCAAAATACTGCTAACCTGCAAAAGAACTCATCATGAACTATCGCTAACAGTATAGTATTATTGCACTTAATACTTAACTACAATACCATTTCAGTCCTGCAGCCTCTATTTCCTACTCACCTGAATGGCCCACAGTCGAAGGATGGGGTTAAGGTCATGATTGAGTAGACAACAGGAAACAAGCTAAGGAACAGCATAAGCAGCAGTAAGGCCATGTAGAAGTTGTTGGACCGTGAGACCTTGAAAATTCGCTCTTGAGGAACATTGCTGGCCATTGCAAGCCAGGACTGGAAGTACATCGAGGTCAGAAGACGCAAAATGTTCAAACCCATCAAACCTGGAGCATAAAATGCTCCCATCCTGAGGAAAACAGCAGATTTAGCACCCTTATTTCAAAAATACTGTATTATCAGCCAATTTACTGAATATCCTATTAAGTTGTTTAATGTAATTAGTATTAGCAGCTTTGGTAACAGTTTGGCTGCAATACCAGTGGTCAGCACTCACTAAATTATAGGTACAGTGGCAACAGGAAACAAGCAATATTAGCCGTGTCTCAGCAAAGGGAGGGACAAGCATTAGTCCCATTAGAAAATCCCCAGTAACACAGAAAGAGACAGAAAATAAAATCAACTATACAGATGTGGAGTAATTCACCATATCATTCCTTGATTGAAGACAAGTCCCAGCACATTTTCACTGATTGGAAACTCTGCATATGAAGGCTGAAACAAACACAACATGATTAGCATGTTCACCTGAATAACTATAATAAAACCAGATCAATGCACTTCTGATTTGTTCTTCTCTTTGTGTTTGTTTCTTTCTCTAGCTCTCTGTAGTTCACTTCTCATTGTAGTGTCCTGTGTCACTCAATGTTAGGGATGTTACTGCATAGCATCACTTCAAGCCAATACAAACTGTGTTGTACTCACACAGTGTTCAATAATAGCTGAATGACATGGTACAGTAGCTTTATATTGATAATATAAACGTTAGCTATAATGATACACACATTTAGTCACATGACTGCAGATACAAGTGGCAGAAATGCCATTTTTAACTTTGTGACATGGTTTAAACTACGGACTGTAAAATTGTGTAATATTTTGTTTGCTAGGCAGAAAGAAAATATAAACTGACTTGATTTAACTGAATGCAAACAAACACACGTAATGTAAATGGAGACAGTGTGACCCTTAGACACACACTGTGAGTACTCACAAATCCAGCCTCCAGGTCCCA